TTAAAATGTATCATTTTTTTTTTTTTTTACAAATATCTTAAAAAATAGCTCTAACAGAAAAAAATTAGTTTAACTTTAATGCCATTTGGCATTAAAGTTAAACTAATTTTTTTCATTAGTGAAAAGTTCAATTACATGACTTAATTGAAAAATTAAAGAGTTACATTTTGTATTGAATACATAGTATAATGGAAATCATGAGGTACATACTGTGAGATAAACACTAACTAAAAAAATAATTTGAAACTGGAAACTCTTGTGTATCTAATAAAGAGTGTGTTAAAAATATAAATTTATAAAAGAAAAAATTCTAATCATAGGTGTAAATGTTTTTTTTTTTTTTTTTTTTTTTATATTTGCATTCACTCCCAACAAGGCTGCAAGCAACCATTATTAAATTAGGAGTTACTAGGAAAAAAAAAAGAACAGAGTTATAGAGCAAGGAAACGGTTGACAGAAAACTTGAAAAGTTGAAGGTTGTATGAGTCAGGAAAACATGAAGATGGGAGAGAGTTCCAAAGGATTGAAGTGCGGGGAAAAAAACTAGATGATTAAAAGTTTTTAGAGCATTGCGGGACAGATACAGTAAACAAATGAGACTTAGCTGAATGACGAGTATAACGAGAATGAATTTTAGTTGATGGATAGAAACTAGAGATGATAACTCCTTTGAGCAGTGACCATGATAGTATTTGTAGAAAAGAGAAAGAGATGCAACTTTACGACGATGGGAAAGAGGTTCAATCTTAGCAGATAGTCCAGGTCCAACAACATTTACATTGCGTTTTCGGACCTTGTCAAGAAGAGAAAGTGAATCGTTAGAAGAACCAGCCCAAATATGAAAACAGTATTCCATACAGGGACGAATAACAGATTTGTAGAGGTAGAGAATGGAATCAGAAGTAAGGAAATGGCGAGCACGATAAAGAGAAGCAACCTTAGCAGAAGCTAATTTAGCAATCGATTGTATATATGGTTTCCATAAAAGGTCAGTAGTAAGCGATAATCCAAGAAGACGTAAAGAGGACGACTCAGTAAGAGGATTGCTATTCATTAATATAAGAATGTTGACCATATTACGGTAGTTGTTTGCAGTAAGCAATTGGGTTTTTTTAGAGTTGAAATTCACAAGCCACTGTGAACCCCAATCTATTACTGAAGTGAGATCAGATTTAAGATCAGCTGTTTGTTCTAGACGATCGAAAAGAGAAGACTTTTTGTCAAGACAGGAGTATAAAGTTGAGTCATAAGCAAAAAGAGCTACTTTAGATGAAAGGTTGTCAGGAACATCGTTTATGTAGATAAGAAACAAAACAGTTCCCAGGATGGAACCTTGGGGAACCCCAGAAGTTACTGGAATTAAAGAAGAGTGTTGGCCTTCAAGGATGACTTTAACAAACCGGTTAGAAAGAAATGATTTGATAATCTCAAAAACTTTCCCAGAAACACCATATAAAGCAAGCTTATGGAGAAGACCAGCAAGCCAAACTTTGTCGAAAGCTTTAGATATGTTGAGAGCAATAGCCCTAGCCTCACCGCCTCCATCTAATGCACGATAAAATCTTTCAGTTACAGCAGTTAGCAAGTCGGCCGTAGAGCGAGAGGATCGAAAACCGTATTGATTGTCTGACAGTAGTTTTTTTGACTCATAATGAGATGTGAGGAATTTGTTGATCAAAGACTCAAAGACCTTACTAATAACAGAAAGAAGACTGATCGGACGTTAATTGGAGGGATCAGAATTTTCTCCAGAGTTTTTGAATATTGGAACCACAGATGCCATTTTCCATTAAGCAGGAAAACAAGACTCAGTCAAACACTTGTTTAATAGTTTAGAGAGAATTGAAGAAAATTCTAGAGAACAATTCTGCAAGACTGTGACAGTAATGTTGTCTGGACCACAAGCTGTAGACGAGTTTAATTGAGATATGACTTTAGCAACAGAAGCCGGAGTGATTTGAATGTCTAACAATGGGTCAACCTGTTTTACTGGAACGGAAGGAAGAGAATGTACATAAGATTTAAGAGTGGAATTAGAAGAAAAGTTCTTTGCAAATAGTTCTGCCTTAACCTTGGAAGAGGTAATAAGATCAGTCCTATGAATGAGAGATGGAATATTAGATCTACCCTTGTTAACAATGCTGTTGAAGATTTTCCAAAAGTCTTCAGAGCCTAACTTATGCGATAAGATGCGAGATTTAGTGAACTGAGAATAATGGAGTTTAGCATCAGAAAGCACCTTTTTACATTGATTTCTTGCAATAATAAATAGCCGTTTGTTCTCAAGAGAGTTGTTCTTTTGAAATAGATGAAAAAAATGATTACGATTGGATATAGCAGCCGCACAAGAAGGAGAAAACCATGGAGTAGAATGAGGCTTGACTTGAAACCGACGAGAAGGAATAAAAGCTTCTATTCCAGCCTGAATCCAGGAGGTTACGTACGAGGCGCAATTGTCAACTGAGAGAGAAAAAATATCAGCCCAAGAACCATCACGAAGAAAATCACAAAAGGAATCCCAGTCAGGTTTAGGGTAGTAGTAGGTGGTGCGATGATAAGGTGAGCCCAAAAAAGAAGTACGAGAAGAAAGATTTATAGAGATCATTGCATGGTCAGAACCACCTAAGGGAGAAAAGGGAGAAACTGAACATAAGCTAGGGTCAGAGACAAGACATAAGTCAAGGAGTGAAGGTAAATGATTAGGGTTGTCAGGAAAACAAGTCACAAAGTTAACTATCTGAGTATGAGATTGAGAAATGCAGAAGTTAAAGGCTTTAGTGCCAGCAAGATCAGTGGTGTTTGAACCAAGCCATTCAGTGTGATGGGCATTAAAATCACCAACAACAACAATATTGGCAGAGGGGTAAAGAGAGAGGGCATGGTCAATTTTATCAGAGATAACATCTAAAAGAGTGCAATCATGTGAAGAAGGAGAACGATAAAAAACAAAGAAAAAGGTGATTGAGTGAAGAGGTGCTAGGCGAAAGCACATAAAAGAATGGTCAAAGGATTAGAACCTGATTTCACGACAAATAGGGGAATTAATGCGTATGTATACCCCTAAACCTAGCATGTGACTATTTGAGTCTTTACGAATCAAAGAATAGTAGCCATCAACACTGACATCTGAAGAAGGAATTGCAGAATTTAAATTTGTTTCGCTGAGTGCAAGCAAGTCTGGTGAATTTTGCAGGAGGTAAGACTCAACTGATGTATAGTTGCTTCGTAGACCGCGAATATTTGTAAAAGATATATCAAAATATTTAGGTGGTGGGGATGGATTTTTAGGTTTTAAATTTTTGGTTACTTTGGTCATGATTTGGGTTTAATGAGAACTTGACTCATTTATAGATAGAGCACAGCCTCCTAATCAATGAGCTATGCAGTTGTCTCAGTCCTGTTAATTAACCCTAAGCTGTGACATAGGGCTCCTTATGTGGCATTGACAATGCACACTAAAAGCATTAACAGGGACACCATCCATGCGCAACATGGCACTGTTAATACTCTGATATTTTGCAGCTTTTGATGGAATCAGCCTCTCTGAGAGCTACCACAGAGTTCGGGAAACCTTACTACCAGCCGGCCTCAGAACCATTAAACTGAGTTTTACAGCTGTACCCTCATATGGAGATAATAGGAAGAGTTGCATAGCCATTATCAAGGAGGCATAGCCAATATCCTATGAGTAGAGTCAAGGAGATCCAGCATTCATCATCCTAGGCAGAAAACAATGTAACACAGGTTAAATCTACGCCAGCCTGTTAGATGAATGAGGGCTTCGAGGCTGGTTAGCAGAATTTTTCTGCTTACCCCTAAAGTCTTTGCCTAGGAGGCCTTCTACAAGACAGTAGCAGGATGCAGTTAACATCTGCCCAAGATGAGTATTTTTATTAAGACACCATCTCTAGCTTTTACTCAACCAAGAGCCCCAAGGCAGGGGATGTTTAGCTGGATGCAGTTAACATCTACCCAAGATGAGTGTTTTTATCGAGACACCATCTCTAGCCTTTACTCAACCAAGAGCCCCAAGGCAGGGGAATTTTTAGTCGGAGTTTGTTTCTCCTAGCCTTTGCATAAGAAGAGCACACTCAGCAAGGCAGCAGGGCTTGTTGCAGGTGGTAATGGGTTACGTGATACCAGTAGAAGGATTGATCTCGATTATCCTGACCTGACCTGGAGTAGTTAAAAGGAGTTACTTCCCGCAACAGTACTTTGAGAAAACCAGGCATGACATTTTGGAAGTCCATTAGGAAAAACACTGCATCTAACAAAATACAGGAGTCTAAGGTGAGTGTAGGTTTTGTAGTTGGAGTAAGTAGTTAGTTACTGAGCTCACGCTGCATTACAGAATAAACAGAACACAAACAAACATAAATCAACTTACGGGTGAGTCAACACCACGCTAGAGGTTTAGACAGAACACAAACATACATAAAAAACATAAAAAACATAAACATAAACATAAAGTAACTTACGGGTGAGCGAACACCACGCCAGAGGTTCAAACAGAACACAAACATACATAAAAAAACATAAAAAACATAAACATAAACATAAAGTAACTTACGGGTGAGCAAACACCGCGCCAGAGATTCAGACAGAATACAGACATACAGAAAGAACATAAAGTAACTTACGGGTGAGCGAACACCGCGCCAGAGGTTCAGACAGAACACAAACATACATATAACGTAGATTACAGGTGGGCTAATACAGTAACTAAGGCACCTCCAACTATATGGAAAAAAAAAAAAAAATTTACTATAGGCATGACTGAAATAAGATAGTACTGAAGACAGGAAGAAACTCCTTCCAGCCTTTGCTTAGATAACAAAACCTGCAAGGCGCTAGAACATGGAACAGGTTGCACTGGGTTACATGTTACCAGTAGCAGGTTGATCATGAAGACCATACTCCTGACCTGACCAAAAAAAATTCAAAATTCAAGACTAACCAATAGTAAAGTCTAATGTTTCCCAATTATTGATCACAGTATTACCTCTTAGTTGTAATCTATCACCATGGCAGTGTTCAATACTGGGGTATTTAACTAATTGATCGACTAAAAAGAAAAGATAAAAGAATAGACTAAAGTAAAAAAAAAGCACATAATATACTATATAACACAGACAAAACTAATTTGAAATTGAAAGATACCACAAGTATTCTCAATTGTAGATGCTGTCATGTTTTGTTTATTACTGTACTTTTTCTTAGTTATAACATCCTCTTCCATTTCATCACTACAATCTAATAATAAAAAATACAATAAGCTTAAATTTATTGCAAAATGAAACTGACAATGCCACTGCTGAAAAGCTGACAATTAAATATTTTATATTTGGCATTTACATTTGGATTATTTGCCTTCAAATTTGTGTCATCCCACTTTTAACTCTAACTAAAAAACAGGTAATGAAAACAAAATATAAAAACTTTTCAAACTTTTCACTTTAACGACCCGTTAACAATTAAAGTAGCGTATCTTATACAAGAAAACTATTTTAAACGTTTTTGCAAAATTTAAATAACTTTATAAAATTTAAGTATACGCATTTTCCAAATAACATCCTGATGATTTGTTAAACCTTGCTTTTTAAGCTCTGATTTTTTTTTCAACTGGTCAATCATGACCAGCAAGAACTCATTATGGGAAGTCATATTAGCATTTTTAGTTATTTCAGGCGTTCATTGACCGTTGACCAGTTGTTATTTTTCACGCTGTATATCTATTTATATATATATATATATATATATATATATATATATATATATATATATATATATATATATATATATATATATATATATATATATATATATATATATATATATATATATATATATATATATATATATATATATATATATATATATATATATATATATGTATATATATATATATATATATATATATATATATATATATATATATATATATATATATATATATATATATGTATATATTTAAATAAAAAAATAAAATAAAACACTTAATGAAACAAGTTTATAGTAAAAACTAACGTTGAAGTTAAAATTTAAAAACTTACAAACAAAACCAACATTTTGGGCTTTCTTTTTACATCTTAAAAATTGAAATAATATAAATATGAATCTAAATTAAAAAATTATCAGTTTCTTCAACTAATAAAATGAATACTAGAGACAGTAAAAAAAAAAAAAAACTTAAAAAAATAATAATTATAAATTATTTATTTTAAGATAATTTATAAATCTTAAAATAAAAAATCTTAAATAAAAAATTACAAACCATTAGAACACTTAACTTAATTAGTGGGAAAGAAAACCAAGATTTAGAAGGCTGATTGCACAACTTTATCATCGATAGAAATGAATTAACAGGATTTTTTGGAAAACTAACAAGTTTACTTTCAATGTCAATTCAACTACATGGAACAATGTCTTCAACAATGTTTTGTCCTTCTTCCCAAATTGCAACACAAAATTTATGCTCTGTCATTTTCAAATTAGCTGAAAGTAAAAAATATCTTTAAAAAACATCTTCTCAATGAAATTTTTTAATAACCTTTACTTGAAGTAAAAATCTCAGAAAACAAGATTTAATTTTATAGTTATAACGTTTAAATAAAAACATTTATGTTTTGATAATTATATTTATAAAAATAATATTTTCATATTAACTTTTGATTTAATGAAATTTATAAAAATATTAAAGTTACTTAAACAATATTTTTATAAATGTTTTTATATAAAAATGTTTTATTTCTATAACAACATGTTACGTATATGCTAATTTTATAATAACATTAATATTGTTACATAAGCACACACATAATTTTACTGAATGCTACTTTTGAATAAGATGCATATATATGTTATAAATGAATAAGTGCCCATACATAGTAAAAACTTGTAAAACAGAGAATGGATATATTAACTAGGCTCATTATTATCTGGACAAAATATTAGACCACTTAAATGTTTCATAGAATAAAGTTTCTGATTCACATCGCACATGTGCAATGTTTTAATTTTCCATAATACACCATCAGGATCATCACAAACAAGTATTCCAAGCTGCCTGCTATCAAGAGGTGCTGAGAAAAAAGATCGCAAGTGTTTTGAATGTATGCATTTGCAAAGTAGCACTGTTTCATTAGCACTGTCGTCGATTTCAATAACTTTACAGTATAACCCTGTATTGCTTAAAAAATAGTTATCTCTTCTTGTGACAGAAAATTTAATGGAAACATTTTTTTTCAATGTTTTGGACACTACAAGGAGATTTTCTTGAATGCACTTTACAGCAGAAGCTAAGAGGTTGTTCTTGGAATTTTGTACACTCCGTTTAACTTGTTACAAATAATTTTCAAATGGAAAGCATGAAAGATTGGATAGAGAACAACCATAGTATTTAACAACATTGACTAAATGAAGAAGATTGTGCACATTATAAGTTACAAACGATTTTCCACAAAGCACTTTACAGTTTTGAACAAAAGCCTACAAAAGTTTATTTGCAAAGTCCAAAAGACAAATTCTTTGTAAATCATTTTTAATATGTAGTATCATTATAGCTATTGTAAAAACAGAAAACAATTCATACAAATCAGAAGATAGAATGTCTCTAAATACAACAATGCTAGTGTACAAAAGCAACTGACGAGATTCTGTAGCCTTCCATCTTTCTAAATGTATTAAACTTCTGGGACGTCTTGCAAACTCTGAAGGTGTGCTTTTTGCTATTTCTATTAACTTCTTAGATATGAGTTTAATATTTCCATAACTTAAACGAACATTTCGAGATCCTGCCTTTATATAATGCATAAACTTTCTGCATTCACCTAAAAAACGAAGATGCATTATGTCTAAAATAAAATGTTAAATAATGTCAAGATTATGTACTTGCAGTAAAGGGCTATTTGATTTTTTGTGTAGAGGATAAGTTTCTGCTCGAAATTGTGCATCTGTTTGAAGTGTACCAATTGGTTCTGTAAAAACAATTCGACGGTGGGAGGCAATCCCAACACTTGTGCAACGCTCGCAACCATTTTTAGATGTATGTCCTGCAATACATTTAATAAATGCTCTTGCAGGAGCATCACAAATAAAAGCACGAATTTTAATATTTATATGTTTCCCATTAACATATAGTACATATTTAATTAAATTGTTAGCATTTAACACAAAATCACCTAAAAACTCATCAACACTACTTGCTTTACTCATACCACAGTAGATTGCCGCTACAAATAGTTTTCCAAAATATTTAACAACTCTGCAAAGTATTGGCCAAAATTGTAAATTTGACGACTTATTCAACAAACCATCAACATTTATAACTACTTCAACACATTCATCAATATTCAACATAACTTCTTTAATGACTCACAAATACCATTTTCTAAACCAAAATAAATATATTGACCACTACATTTTTCAACAATATCAATCCTACGAGGAGTAGACAGAAGAGTGCGTGGATCTTTTCGTATATCATTAAAAAATCTGCCACTATTTCTGAGCAATTTTAAAAGATTACAGAACTGTTCTCTAGGCAAAAAACAGTTTACAGCCCACTTTGTTAAGCCATCAAGGAATTCATGTGTCTGTATTTCACTGCAAAGCTCTTTGTTTTTTAAAGAGTTTATGGAAGTTTTAATTTTTAAATATTTCTGCTAATCAAAATTTTCACCAGAGGTTAGATCATATTCAATATTACTCATATAAGCGTTTTTTATTGAAGCAATTGGTGGATCAGGTGTGATTGGTGGCTCATCATTAGAATCGCAACTATGGTTTGAAAAATAATTATCTTCTGATTCCAATTGACCTTCCTCTATAGCTAACTGTCCAGATTTGGAAGCTCTCCATCTTTTCATATAATCTTTTTTAGATTTAAGGCATTTTAACCGTTTCATACTTTTATATAAATATATAATACTATCACGTATGTAAACAAATAAAACATATATAATCAAACAAATAAACAAACAAAATTACGTATTATACATTTTTTTTTTTTTTTTTTTTTTTTTTTTTTTTTTTTTTACATTTTAAGTTTACATTTGTCGTAATACAATACTTTAACAAATACAAACAAGGTTTCTGAAAGAAGATCGTACTGATCTTATCATCAGAACCTTTTACAAGCATTTAGCATAATTATTTACAATGTATATAATCTATTTATAAAATAAACAGTAAAAGTAAATAGTAAAACAAAAAGATAAAAAGTAAAACAAAAAGAGTCGTTACATATAAAAAGTAAAACAAAAAGAAAAGTAAAACAAAAAGAGTCGTTACATATAACGTATTTTACAATTAACATAAAACGTATTTTACAATTAAAAAGTTCTAAATAAAGGTACATAATTACAATTAGAAGAACCTTATTATGTCATCGGAAAATAAAATCAAATTTTTGAGTTTATGTTTAAAAATTGGAAAAGTGTAAAATATATTAAAGTTTGGCAAAACAACTTCATTCCAAAGAAATGGCGCACGATAAGCAATACCTTACTGGTTAAACTTTGTTCGACAAAAAGGTTTATGCAAAAATTTATTATTTCTAAGAGTATATTTATTTATTGGTTTTTCACAAAAGAGAACTTTAAAGATAGGTAGGGATAAGTCATTTTTCCACAAATACATAAAGCATAAAACATTAAACACATTAAGTTCGTAAATATTAAGAATTTTCATTTCAATAAAAAAAAGGTTTGGAATGAGTGTATCGATCCGCAAAATTAATTAAACGGATCGCATGCTTCTGACGGCGGTAAAGACATTTTAATTTGCTTTTTTCTGTGCTTCCCCAAGCAATATTTGCATAATTTAAATAGGTATGAATAAATGTGTAGTATAGTTGGGTTAAATCTTTTTTACATAGATATGTTCTCGATTTATATAAAATTCCAATGCTTTTAGAAATTTTTGTGCTAATATAGTCAATATGCGCTTTCCATGTGATGTTTTCATCAAGAAAAACACCCAAAAACCTTGTGACATAGTGTCTTTTTATCACAGTATTATCAATAAAGATTTCTGGTAAATTTTGGGGTAAATAAGGTTTTTTTTGCGATTGGATGGAAGAGAATCCATTTTGTTTTGTTACTGTTAAGAGTAAGCTTATTGCATATAAACCATTTTGATATGTTTTTAAGTTCATCGTTCATACTAGAAAAGAGTTTGTAAATATCATTATCGGAAAGAAATAAGTTGGTGTCATCAGCAAACATTATACTCATTAAATTTGAGGCTTTATTTAGGTCGTTTATATAAATCAAGAACAACAGTGGTCCCAAAATGGAGCCTTGGGGAACGCCACATGAAACATTTAGGAACTCATTTGGATAACAACTATTACTAAAAACAAATTGTTTACGGTTAGATAAATAACTTCGGAACCATTTTATAACTTTGTAATTTATTCCATAGTATTTCAGTTTTTGTATCAAAATTTCATGATCTACAGTATCGAACGCCTTCGATAGGTCGATAAAAACACCTAATGTAAATTTAGATTTTCCAAAAGAATTTGAAATTTCACGTACAAGTTGGATAATTGCATGTTCCGTCGAATTATTTTTTTAAAAACCAAACTGGTTGGCGTATAACAAATTATTAGAAAGGAAATAATTGTATAATCTATTATACATAATGCGTTCTAGTATTTTTGAGAATGTGCAGAGGACGGAGATAGGACGATAATTACTGATATTTGTTTGATCTCCCTCTTTTAAAATTGGGGTAATTTTAGCAATTTTTAATTGATCCGGAAAAACTCCTTGGTGAATAGATGCTCCATAAACCTTAAAAAGTATATCTTTTAATTGTTCAAAACATTCTATAACTATATTACCGTTTATGTCATCTGCTCCGTTTGCTTTGTTTTTTTTAAGGGATTTGAATGCTTTTTCGAATTCATAAAAAGTTAGCTCAGAATATAATTCGTTGGAACTAATGCAATTATCCATCTGTACTAGAAAATCGTTAAATGTTGCTTTGGTATAAGGAATTTTATTTGCTAGTTTAGGACCAATGTCAGTGAAGAATTTGTTAAACTCATGAGCTATAGCTTTTGGTTCGCATATGCGTT